TCAGAGTCATGCTTGAGAGATCCAATTGAATAAAAACTCTCTAGTGCCCTTCCTTGTAGTGTATTGTTTGACAAGTCCCTACAATCAAATAGTCAAACATTACACACTGTTTCTTAATTACATATATACAAACTATAATGGTTTTTTGTGCCTCTTGAATCACTAGTCTAAACTTACAATTTCTGCAGATTTTTCAGCAAGGCAATTTGCTCACTAACAAGTCCTTTCAATTCCTTGCTTCCAATGTTTCTGAAACAGATTTAGAAGAGTAAACCAGTATATACTTTTCCACAGTCAATGACTAAGAGAACTTACATTTGGGAGATGACGAAACTGTCTCCTTGTGGAGAGCAGCTAACTCCTTCCCAAGCTTCCCAGCTAATAGGGGCACATGGATCACCGTTCCAACCCATTTTAGCAGGAATACCTAGTGAATACTTGAGTGCTTTCATAGCAAAAACAACCACACAAGTGGTTAGAAATGGGCAAAAAAGCTGCAACTATGTACTCTTAAGATTCATGTCAAGCCACAAGTGCGAAAAAGCATCAAAGAGACAACTCCCTGATCTCATAATACCTTGTTCAGGCACGGTGGTAATATCAGCAGGAACAATGGCGTAAATCTCAAATCCACTGAGTATTGGTGCTCTGAAAATTGGTTTTAGTTTCACTCTCATAGTAGTACTCCTCAAATCCTCCGACCTCCTTGTATATATCCACTCTGCTCAATAAGAAATCGTTAACAATTACATCAAACACCCTTAGCCCAGCCTTGTTCACGGTGGAATCAATCTCAGAAAAGTGGAACCAGAGCATGTAATCAAGCTTTGAGTCAACTTCCAACTCGAAAACCAGTGAGTCCCTTCCAGAGGCTGTCACCGCAGTCTTATAAAGATTCATCGGAAAATAATTCGGTGCCTGATTAGCGCCTTTCTGCGTGTACAACGACTGAGTCACCAACGCCGAGCGAAAATCGGCGTCCACATGGACCTGATCCGCACGAGAGCCTCCCAACACTAACCAACATAACATGTTGGCTAGAATCATTGGACGATTGAATGATTTCGAGTGAACCTTCCACTACCTTAGGTTCAGATTTCATGCTATAGCAGCACAATTCGAGATCGCCGTCGCCAATAAAAGCAAACAGATCGGAATAGGATCCATCGCGAAGCAGATTCGAGGAGGAGAAGATCACTGTGCTTTCGATGGATAATTCAAACAACGGTGAATGAGACTTACAGTCGTCGTTTCCGGTGTATCGGAAATTTTCCAGTATCCCGATTTAGTAGCGACCAGGCGGGAGAGGAACGACATGGCAATTCTTCTTGCCGGAGGAGAGATTAAAATAGCTGATGATCTTCTCTCCAGACTCGGATTCAACGGTGGAGTAAAAGCGATCAGGCCATGTGAGATTGACGGCGGAGCTGGAACCTGCAAAGAAAATCAGAGCAAGTTCATCATCACCACATGATCTTGCTCGAGAATCGTCAAAATGTTTTTGAACCAACATGAAAAATGAAATAGAAAATTTTTTTATTTAAAAGGAATTTAAATGAATTGGACTTATATAACGTTTCTTCTTCAACGCTAAACGAGCCCATCAAGTCCAGTTAACCCATCGAAAACTTTAATCATTCACTATATAAAGGGAGAGGAAGTAAGACTTAAAGACCAAAAGTGCAGCTGCGGCGAAGCCCTGACCGTTTTACTTTTCACCTCGTAAACCCTAGCTGTCATTGGAACTGAACTGCACCGCCGGGTTGAAAGACGATTTCCCGACGAACCGTCACGAACTGTGCGACGATATACACATATGTGGAAAGGTCTCAGCTTTCCAGAAAATCCAATAACGTCTCGATCCAAGTTATGTGGTGAAAGTTATGGCATGTTCTTTCCAACTGTCGCGATATGTCTTATTCTCGAACAACCGCAGATTTGACCAGTTTCGGTGGGGAATAGAAACCAAGGTTCAAAACTGTTCGGATCCATATGAATATTGTTGTTATTTGCTGTGAGAGTTTCCGACCAGTCAGAGGAGAATTTATGCTGCAGTTTCGTCAATGATCGGATGAAGCTTATATTTGGTAAGCAGATTCTTAACTCTCTGATCTAGTAATATTTGAAAGAAGTTTGTCATTCGGTGTTATGGAATGAATGTTATAGATGTTTTACTTGGACTGATCTGTACAGAGTGAGTATGCGACCAGGCGACTTCGCATACGTTTTTCGGCCAAGTCTAGAAGAACTAGATGTTGATATGGGCGTCGTTAGAAAGATCATAGATTCTAATTTTTGTAGAAGCTTTTGGTTCTAAATTACGAGGTATGATCTGCTCGTAATTCGTATTTCAATATTGAGAAACATCACTGTTTCTCAAACTGGAATTCTTATTTTCATATCCGATTAGAGAATTTGTGAGCTGATTTTCTGTCGTTCTGAAAGGATCCAGAAGACGATCTGGATATAATTGGAAAGCTCTGAGTCATGGCTTTCTACAGGCACCAAGTTTGTCTTGATCTGAGGTACGAGTAAGAAGTTATAGTTGTTTTCTTCTGACTGGTATAATTTGACCGAATTGAATAAACATTTTAGGAAGTTTAATAATGGAATGTTAAACATGGGTTCCTAATCGCAGATTCGCAGTAGCTCATCCTTCTATGTTCATTCTTCCGTGTCAATCTATCCAATCTATAAGGCTAAGGTGAGGGTGTTGTCTAGATTACTTTAATACTAGTTAACAGTAAATGTTCTTACATGTTAGTCTAGGGATGGAATGTAATGTTGTTGGTTATATATGGTAAGTCTAGGGATGCTTGATGTTGCTGGTTGCTATGTGGTAGTTTGTAATATTGTTTGATGTGTGGAGACTATTTGATAAAGTTYTATGGTGCTKGGTAGAGAAAGAATGTRAAAMATTTAAAATGAATTGTTTGAGATTGTAGATAGGATATATAGTTATGCGGACGATCGCGTATGTAAGCCCGTTGCAGAACTTGCTTGTTGGACTACGGATGATCGCGTATGTAAGCCCGTTGTAGTCTAGGCCTTAGAGGGCCATGACACGGAGGACAAATCCAAAACGCGAGAAAGGGGTTGGCTCCGCTGTGAATTTAGGATAAGTAAAGAAAGTAAAGAGTGTGAAAAGGAAAGAAAGTAAACAATGTGAAAAGTAAAGAATGTGAAAGGTGAAATGTTTAAGTATGAGATAATGTATAAGTAAAAGAGATTATGGTGTGGAAATATTATGTATGAATGTTATGTTGTTAGTAATAAGTTGGGTGATGCACGTTTTATTTATTGGTTAATGTGTTTGATTGCTTACTGTTTTCAAGTATTAGAGTTGTTGTGGGTAACTTCCTCACTGAGTAATTTCTTCCCGGAATTACTCACCCCTCTTTTTCCCTTTTAGTTGTGCAGGTATGTTGTTTCTTGAGCAAGTTATAGGGCACGAGACCTAGGGCTCAAAGTGATCAGGGATCGGGTGTCGCAGTACATGTGAGGAGCGACGGAGACGTACCGAAATCGGA